CCCCAAAACCCCAAAACCCCATGTCTTCTAAAAATTGTTAATAAGTTATTTTTTCGAATTAAATTAATCGATAAAATATATAAACTAAATAAAAATTAATAATATGAGTTAAGGAGTTGGAATAGTTATTAAAAGCTAGCATTTAAACCAGACAGCAAAGAACATTCTTAAGGACAATAAGGCTAGACTCAGGCTAATTATAGAACACACTTCTAATGAAAGTAAACAAGCAGTTGAAAAATCTGTAATCATTTTCCATCCATAACAATGTATTGATTTAGGTCAGAAAGGAAGAAAGTGGAAACTACTATGTTGATTACAATAATATAAGTTTAGCTAGAAAGGTGGGAGTTATGAAGTCTTTTATTAAGGACAGGCCAAAGTCAGCTTTTAGTCTTTAATAGAAATTCAACCCTTAATAGAGACGCCTCAAATTGCAATAGATCAATAATACCTCTCAAAGCAAAAAAAGAAACGTTGATGAATTCGATGAGTAAATTTCAAGTGCAAAGCGACCAAATACTAGAGGAACATCCTAGCCCTCTTAAAAAGGCATAAGACCAGGCTCACTAAATTAAAGCTAAATAGACATGATGTACATGACTTAGAATTAGAACATAACTAAGCTAAATAACAATGGTTTCATAAATAGTAATCATCAGTCGTCATAAAATAATCTTAACATGTTTACCAAACCTAGAATTTCTAGTCAAAATGAAAACTACTTTTCCCAATAAAATAGTAGCAGAGGTGGTTTTATTGACATAAGAAGACCATCATCCAACATTCAAAGCTAGAGAGGGAGTATTATATTTATGAACGCTCCAAATATAAGCAATCCTAAATAGGTTTTTGGTTCAAGAGGTGTGAGCAAGACTAGACAAAGCAATTATTAAATGTATTCAAATTCACCCTCAATAGACGATAGCAAAAGTATAGAATAAGTTATATCAGCTCTATCAACTAATAATAGACCTACTCGATAATCATCACCAATATAGAGTAATAGACTAACAAATAGATAATCGTAGTATCCTTAGCAATAGATAAACTAGAGTGGGAACTCTAATCCATAAGGACATAGAAAAATTAAGAGTATGCAGTCAAGCCTGAACAATTTTTCATTTCACAATCCTCCCTAGAGAGATAATAGTTTAGAATATATTGATGAGTATGGTCAAAGTCCAAATTTGTCAGTAAATATTCATAGCTAATTCTATGATAACAATCATAACCAGCAAATGCAAGAGCTCATTAGAAGAATATTGGTAAGCATCTATAAGTTTAATTGATCATTGACTTTAGATGAATAAGTAACGAATGAATTCAGCTATCATAGATATAGATACAGTAGTAGACTCCAAGGAACCTACCTTATTTGAAGATGAAGTACATAGATTATTCAAAGCAAAATGTGAAGATTTGCTTATTCCAGCTTATCAAACTTAGCTGTAGAGGTTTCAAGAACTCTGCAAGAGAGTATCAATTAACAGAGAGATAAGATTCCCTGAGATGGGCCTTTCTTAAAATTTTGCCTCTTCACTGAAGCAAATTCTACTTGACCCTAATAATCATCGCATATCCAAGATTGATTTGCATAAGAATAATCTGGCTGATCATGGAGTTAAAATACTAATGAAGGCAATGAAGCAAAACAAAACAGTTATTCATTTAGATGTCTCATCAAATGAGATTTGCAATGATGGCATGATAGCAATATTCAGAGCTCTTTAAAAAAATGAGTCTATTATTTCTTTGAATGTATCAACAAGAGATGGAATCTCTAGAAATAGGATATCATCAACAGGTATTTAAGAGCTCTCGAAAATGCTAGTTGTTAATAAATTTATTACCATACTTGATTTATCTTCAATTGGGCTTGGTAATGAAGGCATTAATAAAATATGTGATGCTTTTATGGATGAGTAAAATCCTTGCTCCTTGCAATCACTACAATGTTAAATGAGTGAAATAAGCTAATTTGAAGTATTTGAGAAACTGAAGTTAGCGATCACAAAATCTTAGTTAAGAGAACTAGATTTGAGTTATAATCACATTGGAAATAAGGGAATAAGATAAATTGCAATGGCTCTAGGTACTAAAAACTATCTTGAAAAATTGAATGTGACATCATGTAAATTCACCTTTAAAGGAGCATAATCACTCTTTTCAGTGCTAAGCAGAAATATCAAACTAAGGGAGCTTATAGTAGATCGAAATTATTTAGAAGGCAAGAGACTAAGAGTATTGAGAGAAACTCTCATGAATAATAACGGATTACTTTATTTATCCATGAATCAATGCTAACTAGAGGTAGATGGAGCATATTTTATTGCATAAGGTCTTTTAAAGAATAAAAAGTTGAAAACTATTAGACTATCCAATAATAACTTTGGCGATGAGGGTATCTAAAGTTTTGCAGATATCCTTCATGTGTATACATTAATAATAGAAAATATGGATTTATCATATAATAACATCACAGATAAGGGGGCAATAAATTTTGCTAGAGGACTCTCAAAGAATCAAAGTCTAATAACTTTGAGCCTTAAATAAAATCAAATCCAGAGAGATGGAGGTCTAGCTATAAAAGAAGCAATTAGCGAGCATACTTCATTACTAAAAGTATTCCTAGAAAATAATGCAGTTAATGTGAGAGATGTAGAAGAGATCAATAAATTTACTAAGAGAAATAGGGAAAAGTTTGGTAGACAAAAAATGCCATAGTTTTAAAACGAACTCAGATTTCTTGTGCTTAACAATAAATAATAAGAACTAGATGACACATTCAAGCAAATAGCATTTGCCAAGTAAAACAAAGAGTAAATACATGAGAGAATAGAGTAATTAAAAGACAATTTGGAGTATGTGAAGACTTAAAAAGATTATAAACTTGAAGAGTATCAATTAATATCACTCGAAATGTAAGAATTCATAAACTAATTAGAGGTGGAAGTAAAGCAAATGGATACCAAACAGTAATAGAAGCGACTTGATCTAGAAATCTAAGTGAAGAGGTAGGATTATGCATTACGAGATATAGACCAAGAGAATGCAGCATTGAAAGAAGAGAGTAAGCAATATTTATGCCTATATTATTATAGTTCGAAAGTCTCTCAGGCTCGTAAGAATAAAGAGAGGATATTTCTAAGATGAAGTGGATAAAGTTAAAGAGGAGTTAAAGATATAACTTTAAAAACTTGAGGTCAATTCAATGCTCTAATCCAGCAAATAATTTGAACTCGATAGGTTCATAAAGCTACAGGAAGATTAGAATAAACAGCTTGAATAGGAATAACAGTAGAAATAGAATGAAGAGGAATAAAAGCATGCAGAAAATGAAAAACAGCACAACGGGGGTAAAAAAGGAGGAGGAAAGAGTCCCTAGAAAAAACAAAGAAAACAATCAGCAAACAACAAAAATAGAATAGGCAATAATAATTAGGACTTACTGCCTTAGAATACCACCAATTTGAATTTCTTAGAAGATTAAGTGGCTGTAATTGTGGAATAGAAAGGTAAAAAAGCCAAAAGCAAGGAAAAAAAGTCTGGTAAATGAGTAGTAAAGGATATATTCAATCAGATTAGTACTTTCGAAATAAGCATATAAATATATTATCTAATGTGATATAGACATTTTTTACTTTATATTGTTTAGTAATTATTATTCTAAATTCAATCTTTAGGGGTTTTGGGGTTTTGGGGTTTTGGGGTTTTGGGG